ATCTTCATATGTGTTTGCTAAGATAGGTAACGTTAAGAAGTCTTGTGCTACTAAACCATTACTAAATAAACAGACTACTTACATTGGGGGAGCCAGGGCACTCTTGGCATCATAACCAATACAGCACACTACAGTGGTTATGGTACTTGGAGTATTCCTTTAACATATGTAAAATAAAATCTCTAATATTTGCTGCAAAAAAAGGCATATGTAAAATCTTAGAACTATCCCAGTATAAAAGAATATCTAAATGGCTGCATCTTATGGAAAATATATAAATGGTGTTTAGATAGAATTATGATTGGTCACATTCTTGTTGCAGCAACATCAGTCATACCCTGCAATTGGAAATCGCAGAATGTTCAATCTATTAAGGAGGTTCTACTTTTAGTATTGGACAACAAAAGGTATGAAATGGTATTGAGGCAACCTTCCGCACTTTGCTTTATTAAAGTTTCACTAGGACAACTATGAAAATAAAATAAAGAAGTATCACATTTAAACAATTCCACACACCCTGTGCTTCCACATTAGGTAACTGTTGTAGTCATTTTTGCTTATGAATTTTATCGCTCTATATTATATTTTACTTATGTAAACATTTGACATTTTGATATGTAAAGATGGAAATCCCCCCGCCCCCTTTGATCAAGGCCTCTGTGTAGGCTGAAACATTGCAGTTTTTGTTCCAATAAACCTGCCTTTCTGCAGCAATCCTGAGTGCCTGGACCTAATTTATTTTATCTATTGCCTTTACATTAAACATGATGGTGGAAATTATATTAATCAAGGAAGAACAGGTGCACAATTGGGTGCAATGTGTTAAATGATGAGTGACACTCTATTGGTTTCTATGGTGATTGCTCATTATTTAGCACCTGTTTTTGCCTTGATAAATTGTCCCATTCAATTAAATGATGCTGCCCGGCAATAAGTAAATATTCTGTCATTCTAACTGACAAAAATCTGTACAGTCATCAAGATTACCATACAACTCCCATGTACACAAAGAACAGAATACATACATACAACTCCCATGTACACAAAGAACAGAATACATACATACAACTCACATGTACACAAAGAACAGAATACATACATACAACTCACATGTACACAAAGAGCAGAGTGCATTGCTACAACTCCCATAATACATTTAGCTCATATATATATATATGGACACAAATGGGCAGAATTTGTGGAGTCACATTGAATACAGTCAACTAAATGTCAGTAAGGAGTGAAAAGTGTAAAAAGTGTGAATCTTACAAAAGGGAGTCACATCAATATATACCAAATTACACCAATATTGTATGTAGAACAAAATTAGAGAGAAAACAAATGATGATGGTAACAATTGTTGCTCTCATCTTTATTTGAAGTTTATATACAATTAAATAAAGTGTTGGGAAGACGTGTTGGCCATTTCTTCTCCTTATTCCTCATCATGGAGCTTCTGCTGTAGAACACATAAAAATACATAATGTAAAGCAGGCGGCAAAAAGCAGAAGATACCAGAAGATAGCTAGTAAAAAGTCTAGTCACTGTACCATTAGTTATCTATCCCTTACATGCTCAGTGGCTAATGTTCACATATGTAAGCACTTACCTTGCCCCCCACATCCCGGGTCTTTGCTCTAAGCTTGTTGACCTGAGACTCTGCAATATCCGCCCGTTCCTCTGCCTCATCCAGCTCATGTTGAACTTTACGGAATTTTGCAAGATTAGTGTTGGCCTGTTCCTCCTGTGGAGAAGACATTCCAGAGAAAAATAGATAGATGTTGAGGTGGAAAATAAGAATCCGGAACAGGGCAAAATAAGGCAACTATGAGATATAAATATAAAAAACGATGTTTCTTAAATAAAATTAAAGTTGGTTTTTTTTTTACTACAATAACTCACCGCCTCCTCTGCTTGTCTTTTATAAGCTTTCACTTTGAGCTGCAACTTATCCACTAAGTCTTGAAGACGAGCCAAATTCTTTCTGTCCTCTTCAGTCTACAAAGTAAGAAAACACAACATACATGTCAATATAGGACCTGAAAGACAACACATAAAACAAAGACACATGCAGCAAACTTGCATTTTACTTTCACCACATATCCTTGGAAATTAACTTTCCATATTATGATCTACAGGCCTGCTACCTATTTTTTGATTAATTGATTCTAGATTTTCTTTTTAACCTTTATACCTGGTAGGTAAGCTCCTTAATGCGTCTCTCGTATTTTCTCATGCCCTTCACAGACTCTACATTGCGCTTTTGTTCAGCTTCCAGCTCATTGTCCAGTTCTCTGACTCGAGCCTCCAGCTTCTGTAGCTGTTTCTTCCCTCCTTTCATGGCAATCTGCTCTGCCTCATCCAGCCGCTGCTGCAGGTCTTTGATGGTTTGCTCCATGTTCTTTTTCATCCTCTCCAGATGAGCACTTGTGTCCTGCTCCTTCTTCAGCTCTTCAGCCATCATGGCCGCCTTTAAGGAGAGGAGTGTAAATTTATGGGCACACAATGAAGGCACAGAATATGATGGTCTGGGATGTGTTGACTAAGTAATGTTGTATACATACATCAGTTATGGCCTTCTTGGCCTTTTCCTCTGCATTTCGGCATTCTTGCACAGCCTCTTCCACCTCTGTTTGCAGTTGAGCAATATCAGACTCCATCTTCTTCTTCTGGTTTATTAGGCTGGTGTTCTACATGTGACAATGGATGCTTAAGAGTTATTTTAACAAAAAAAATTCTCCAAATGGGGTTAATTTATTCAGTAAACCAATTTAAATAAAAGGAAATATTTATCTGATGTTTCAAGGTTTTTTTTAATACAATGTGTGTTCCTGCTTTATGTTCACCACTTATGTCTCATCTAATCAATTAATTAATTACAGTCTTCAAAAAGCAAAAGAAGAAATGTTATACATAAATTCAAGAGAATACTGTGCCCACTTTACAGTACAGACTATAATTCATCAGGGGTGTTGCAAATAATAAAAAATTTAAATATTCCATAGAAAGCGAGAGAATTGATGTGTGATGGACAACATGTATATTTGTATTAAAGTATTCATGGTATGAAAAAAGGAATAAGTATTGGTGTGCTTGATGCAGCAGCATTAGAACAGCAAAAAAGTTGTGTTTATAGGAATGGACCAAAATTGACAATTTTCTTTATTATTTCAATGTCATTATTGTGGTTGATATATATGTTGATATAAGTCAAATTCCCTCCTCACCTGGGAGTGGAGGAGTTGCACCCTCTCACTGGTCTCTATCAGCTCTTGTTCTGCAAGTTTGCGTGCTCTCTCTGTCTGCTCCACCAAGGACCTCAGCTCCTCTAGCTCAGCTTGAAGAAGCATGTTTCTTCTCTCCACAATGGCGATGTTCTCTTTAAGATCATCATTAGCTCTCAGTGTATCATCCAGTTGTATTTGGGTGTCCTGTGAAAGCCGCATATAAGAATGAAGCATGAGGGATGTATTTATGGTTACATATAAACACAAACCAGGATGGAACCAGTATTTTTGATGATTCTTTATGTACCTTGAGACTTCCATGTGCCACCTTAAGGTGCTTTTGAGCCTCAGCTGCTGTACGATTGGCCTGGCTAAGCTGAATTTCCATTTCATTCAGGTCACCCTCCATCTTCTTTTTTATTCTGAGAGCTTCATTGCGGCTCCTGGTCTCAGCCTCCAGTGATGTCTGTAGTGAATCCACCAGACGCTGGTGGTTTCTCTTCACCTGCTCCATTTCCTCTTCCTTTTCTGCCAACTTGCGCTCAATTTCTGATTTAATCTGATTATACTCTAGCTGGGTGCGCAAAATCTTGCCCTCTTCATGCTCCAGCGAGGCCTTAGAAGGAGACATTTCATATATTAAAAACATTAGGATCCATCCATCTTATATCCCAGGCATGTAATATAATAAATTGTTTGGACGATAAGAGTGGATTACTGAGAATTTTCATAACCTTACCTCTGCCTCTTCCAAGGCAGACTGAAGCTCCATCTTCTCCTGTTCCAATTGTTTCCTAATTTTCTCTAGTTCATGGATACTTTTCCCACTCTCCCCAAGCTGTTCCGTCAGATCTGAGATTTCCTCTGTGGAGCCATTGTGTAATTAATTTTTATATGCATTACTTCAAGCTAGTATTTTAGCTATCACTACTTCATTTACCACTGTCATATCTATCTGATGCTTGAAAATATATCACCTTTAATTTCTTCATTACCTCATGATAAGTGTGGTAGCTAATACTTTTTATAGAATACATATTTTTGAATAGATTATCAGGGAATTTACATGGATATATTTGGAAGCCTACTCCAGTGAACCCTGCTTTCTCACCTTGCAAATTTTTGTTCTCCCTCTTGAAAGTCTCCACGTGCTCCAGAGACTCCTCATATGCATTCTTTAACTTAAAGAGCTCGGTGCTCAGTGAACGAGCTTCTTTTTGAGAAGACTCCAGCTCTGTCTGAGACTCCTCAAATTTTTGTTTCCATTCAGCAAGGATCTGAAGTGAGAGAGTGAAAATATGGTTACCGTCCTTTCCAGCCTTGTTTCATGAATTTTTTTAAAAATAAACTGAACCCCCAAGAAATTTGGTATATCACCTTGTCAAAATTTCTTTGCTTTTTGTCCAGTGCGGCTGCTGCAGCATTTGACCTCTCAACGTCCACCATAAGGTCTTCAATCTCATTCTGCAGCCGATGTTTTGTCTTTTCCAGGGATGAGCATTTGGCATTTACAGCTTCTACAGCCTCTTCTGCTTCCTGTAGCCTCTGGGCCAACTTCTTTCTACCATAGATCAAGGCAGATTAAAATGGTCATATAGAGAAAACCACATTTTATTGGATTAAGTAGAGGTTGAGAACAGCCAAGCAGGTCTAGGAATTATGAGTTTAAGAGGAAATCAGCCAAAAGCAGTGGGAGTGTAAATGTTTAAGTTATTGTGCACTGACCACACTTTTTGTTTTCACCCACCTTTGTAGCAAAAACTGAAGCAGAGCCTTCTAACAAACAAGCTTTATGCTCGTCTTATACAACAGTATGAAACATAATCCAAGCAAAAAGCTTCTCTGTTGAAAGGAATTGTACAGACACGATGCACCTAAGCAGATGTTATAATAAAAGCAAGACATAACCAGAGAGGGGCAAGAATTAATGCCACACAATGAATAGGGAAATATTTAAGGAAGGAGAGTATAGCAATGCTCTTGTGTAAGAAATAAAGCATAGAGGATTGGAAGGGTACCATTACAGGATATTCCTAAAAGGATGCAACAATAGAGAAAGTACATGTCACTCACTTGGCCTCCTCTAACTCCTCAGTTCTCTGGATGGCATCCGTCTCATACTTTGTTCTCCATTGGGCCACCTCAGAATTGGCTTTAGATAACACCCGTTGCAGCTCTCCCTTGGCCTCTTGCTCTTCTTCATACTGTTCCCTTAGGAGGTCACAGTCATGGCGAGCAGACTGGAGGGCATGGGCCAGGGCATTTTTAGCCTTGTGTGATGAGAGAAACAGGAGAGAAGTTGTTAAAGCAAATGTAAACTTGTGGTTTGTGTGTACAATTCGCTGTATTTGATATTTTGTTTACATACTGGATTTTTGGGGGAATAAGAATGAGTATTCCCATTACCTTAGTCTCTTCTTCCAATTGTCTTTTAAGATCTTCCATCTGCTGGGAATACGTCTGTTTTCCACGAGTCAGCTGTGACACTAAGGCCTCTTTCTCATCCAACCGGCGGGACAATTCTCCATTCTCTGTTTGGAGCTTTGCCTTACTTGAGCTGAATTCATTTAGAGATCTTTGAGTTTCTTCATACTTGGTTCTATGCTCATTCATCTGGTCCTCTAGTGTACGACACATTTTCTCTAGATTGGCCTGGAAAACAAAGTTATGTATTGCGATGATAACAGCTGGACAGTTGAAGAGGAAAGGCACAGGACAAAAGTACCATTACTTTAGATGTGATTTTGTGTATTATTTTTAACGTGCAGAACAAAACAAGAATTTATATCTTAACTTTAAAATACTTTAGGTTGAAAGAAAACAAATACTGAAGTAGTAATTTCACATAGCTGGGCTAGATATGAAAGTATATTTCTGAATCGAAGAATCTAGCAGATGCTGCTTCATAATAGAATAATGGAAAAAGAACTAAGATTAAGACACTCTAATAAAATGACTTTGACCACTAGCAATCAAAAACAATTTATATTTTAAATCCTTAAGTAAGGAGATACAAATGTACACAATCAGAAAATAAATAAATACATACAATATGCAATGTTCTCACCCACAAAGTTTGCCACTGGAAATATTTAGGTTAGTGACTATAACTTTGACAAACACGCATATGCAATGAAAAAAGATGTTTCAAACCTATTTCTTCCATGAAATCTATATCCTTGTAAATAACTCCGTAAAATGCAACAAAATAAAAACACACAGAGGACAAGGGCAAATTAACAATAGAATGTTTGATATAAAAGCTATAAATAGGACAAAAATTGAGACAAAATATAATCTGCAAGGATGAATGCCAATTGCGAGCCTTAACTTACCTTGGCTCTTACAATCTGTTCCATGTTGGATGCTACATCATCCAATTCCAGTTTGAATTCGCTCTTCTCTTTCTCCAGCTTCTGTTTGACTCTCTGGAGATTGTCTATCTGCTCACTTAGCTCTGCCACAGAGTCTGCATGCTTCTTCCTCAGAGCTGCAGCTGTGGCCTCTGACTGCAGAGTGGATTCCTCCAGGTCTCTCCTGAGTTTTAGGAACTCAGCCTCTCTTTTCTTGTTGAGTTCCAGCTGAACAGAGGTGGCTCCGCCGGCCTCCTCCAGGCGCTCACTGATCTCCTCCAACTCTCGTGATAGGTCAGAGCGAAGCTTCTCAACTTTTGCTCGAGCTGTCCGTTCAGCTTCTAATTCTTCCTCCAGTTCTTCAATACGAGCCTTAGGGAGGAAAAAGCAGAGAAATACATTGGTCTTATGTGCAATGTCCAGTGGTTTCTTAGTTTTGTTTTTAATTTGAGATTTCCCAAATTGTAATTGTTCCTTAAAATGTGATTTATTTATAATAATTTTTTTATTTATATTTATAAAATATTTTACCAGGAAAGATACATTGAGATTTCTCTCGTGGGTCCACAATCATTGCATGTTACATTAGGGTACAATAAAATACAAAAACAATATTAATACACAATAAATAAAAAATTTAACATAGAACAGGTAGGAAATATATAATCAGCCATGACAGGTGCATTCTGTTTTGAGGTATGTAGAGAGGGATCTCTTAGGGAAGATTTTAAATTGTGCGGGAGGTTGTTCCAGTATAGAAGGGGATATGTGTAACTTTTGGTCTTTATGGTGTCATATGCTTCCCTCCCATCAAATTAAACATTAATTGTACATACAATAGGACCAATTTGGAAACCAGAAGAGAGTTGGGTATGTTCTAAATTCAATTAAAATAAATAATTTATGTTTTTATCAGATTAGGACATATACCTGCAGCTCTTTTATCTTTTTCTGGAACTGCATTCCCAGGACCTGTTCATCCTCAAGCTTGGTATTTTGTTGTGCTATTTCAAACTCTTTTCTAAATGAAGATGAAGAGGATATAGCCTTTTTAACTTACACTCATTTAGCACAGGCAATAAATAAACCCTAAAAATAACCCAACACTTACTTTTTCAATTTTTCCTCCAGCTGTTGTTTGTCATTTTCCAGATCCATTACATTCTCCTGGGTTAGTTTCAGATCACCCTCCAACTTTCTCTTAGCTCGTTCTAGATCCATTCTTATTTTTTTCTCTTGTTCTAGTGATCCCTCTAGCTACAGAGATAAATTCAGTTGTTGCCAATACAGCTAGGAAAAACACTTATATAAAATGTGAATATAATATTGATGCCAGGTAGATACTACTTACATCATCCACCTGCTGTTCCAGCTTGGCTTTAGCTTTAGTTAGCACATTGACCTTATCCTCTTCTGCCTGGAGATCATCTAGAGTTTGTTGATGAGCTTCTTGAAGAGCCTTCTTCTCTTTGGTAAGTTTAGCAATAATTTCATCCAGACCAGCCATCTCCTCGGTTAGGTTTTTGACCTATGAATTAGAAATTCAGCAGGTAATGAAAACTATTATGAAGAAGAAATTACTAGTGCGTTTATATTGAGAAGAGAAATGGAAAGAAGACCATAAAGGGACATTGTTTACTTTATTCTCTGTGGCATGTTTCTCTTTCTCCACTTTGGCCAGTGTTAGCTCAAGATCATCAATATCTTTCTTAAGCTCGGAACACTCATCCTCCAGCTTCCTCTTTTTAGCAGTCAGCTCAGCATTCATTTCCTCCTCATCTTCAAGCCTCTCTGTCTGTTCTTTTAACTTGGCCTCCAGCTGAATTTTGTTTTTAATAAGCTGCTCACAACGCTCCTCTGCATCATTTAGATTGTCTTGTTCCTGGGCACAAAATATATATTGTTACTAAAACAGACTTTAATCAAGTTAACTATGACATGATTTGTAGAATGATATATTCATTTACTTACAGATTCATGCACCATCAATGAAGATGATGAGAATATTTTTCATATTGCCAGTTGAAATAATAAGTGGGTCTCAACACCTTAAGATATAGACTTACCGATTGAACTTGAAGCTGCAGATCATTCTTCTCCTGCAGTAGAGAAACCATCTTTTCTTCCAACTCTTTGCGTCTTGAATCAGATTTCTCCAGAGCATCTTTTAGCCTTTGGAACTCTTCTTTCATGTTTGCCATTTCCTTCTCAGTCTCTGCACTCTTCAATAAAGGCTTAATTTTGAAGTAAAGTTTCATCCAAGGCCAATTCTTGACACCCATGAATGCACGGATATTCCATTGGATCACTAAGAGAGCATCTCTAAAGACGTAGACATATGACATAAATGCATTTGTTTAACAAGAATAAGCATTACTATGATAGTCCTGAGTATATATTATAGTCAGGATTTGCAGGAACATACAGACTAATTTAAGAATTACGTATGGTACATTTCAAACATAATGGAGAAGAGTGATATTCATGTGTAACATTAACTTCTAAAAGTTTACTATCAATAATTCAGGTTTTCTATGGCACTATAAACCCCTCACCTGCGTTCTAAAATCTTTTTAAACTCTCTTCTCATTAGCAATCCTCGGGACTGTGCTTGTATTCGTGTGATAATTCTGGAGAGCCTCTCATCTCTCATCTCCTCCAGTAGACCCAACAAGCCAGCTTTAAAGAATACCTTTATGGGGTAAAATGGCACATATTTATGTCTTTTCAGTCATACACATTAGACTTAGAACAGCTCCATATTATACAACCTATACATATTTTAAAAGAGACATACATTATATCTCTAATGAGAAATATAAGGATTCACTACTGCCAGTTGGTTATGTCCTGAACAGCCCACCACTACAGCAAAGTACCACTATTTTAGTGGATCCTAATCTTGTTTATGGTTGGTAAATCTTTTAATCTCTAAACGTAACAGTCATCCAATGATCTTCCTGTTTAATTTACAATGAGATCTGGCAAATAATTAAAGCACCACTTAAATAACTAAAGGTTTTGTACAATATACAATTTAATACACACTGAAGTTTGAAGTGAGGAAATATATCACACCTTAGTGTGCCCAAATTTGTACTGAGTATGGTCAATTTCCAGTGATCCCAAAAGTTTTTCTGCTCCTTTTTTGCTGTCTATGAATTGACCTTCAGGTATGGCGGCAGGATTCAAGATACGGTAACTGAGGAAAATGAAACAAACATTCATGAAAACATCAAAACTGTCTTGGTGAAAAAGGAACAAAAATAAAAAAAATATTATTTACCAAATGAACACACAAAAAAAAACAATCGATGGCAGTCTTACCGCTGTCTGAAGTCTCCATACAGGATACGATTGGGGAATCCCTTCCTGCAGATTCTGATACCTTCCAGTACACCATTACAACGCAATTGATGCATCACCAATGGATTGTCCATCTCTCCTACAGGGGACAGAATCAAAAACATAGGTAAAAGTGAAAGGTTGTAATTATTAAT